CGAATTAGTTTTAGCCAAGTGCATACATATTTTGGAAGACTCTCTTTGACTATCAGTTTCTACTTTACATCGGTTTAAAAATCTGTGTAAGAGACTCCTTCTTCGGGGGGGGGGGGAGATTTCTTTGGATTAATCTGCCATCTCAGTGTATAAAATTTCTGAGCGTCTTCACCTCTGTTTAATTACTTAACACAATTATTTTAATCTCTACCCCCCCATCAATACCTCTATCCACACAATTTGTTAACATTAAATTATAAGCCTATTGTTATCGTTAGCCTGAGTATTATTATTATTAAATCTTGCATTCTTCTCTCTTCCTATGTCTTTCTTCTCACAAACAAATGAGTTCTACTTTCTCACCCACGTGGAAGCAGATAAAAAAAATGGACGTTTACAAAGATGATTATTATTTTATTTTATTTTTAAATCTCTTTACACTACTCATCACTTTCCTCTCGAGATTGCATACAAACACATACAAGTTTGAGTACCAATGATTCCCTGGATGTACCACCATGTTTCAAGGGCTTTTGTCTTTTCCCTCCCTCATCCTCTCCCCCCCCCCTTCATTCTCAAATCGCAGGCCCACTATGGTGAAATTTCCTGCAAATTAAATAGCCAGCAAATTCAACGAAACCGGCTCCAAACAGAGCTGATCTCCTCCAAATACTCATCCTAGCAGCAAGATCGGCATGAAAATCTCCTGACAACGCTTAGCTGAATTAACTAGGGGTTTGTTTTGGTTTCTTGCAAGTAAAGCCCAAACTATTCCTAGCACACATTCAGGCTTCTCTCCACAAAGTCTAATCATTCGGGTAATTTTCTTTTCTTCTTTTCTTTTCTTTTCTTTTCTTTTCTTTTTAAGGGAACAAGCCTTAAAAAGAGGGAGGGGGCTTGGTATCACTGAAGGAACCGGCTCCTGTATAATATAAGGAGAGTCAACAGAGACTTACTGTCAGCTTTCCCGAAGGGAACAGGAGAGGAAGGAAACCCTCGAGAAGAGAAAGTCCTCCTGAAGCTCTTGGTTTCAGGCTCCTCCTGGCTCACACTTTCCCTGTCACTGCTTCCAGGAACCCAAGCATCTGCACTTGTATGCTCTTAAACTAATTTATGGTGGGAATTATATTTTGGCTTGTCAACTCTGAGGCCATAAAACAAAGTTTATTGGAATCACGTGCTTCGAAAGAGCCACTCAGGAAGGATCTCGGCGGAACAATAAATAACCTCCAGCTTTAAACTTTTATTCACTTAAATAAAGAGGGCCTGAAAGGGAAAAAAAGGGGGTGGGAGAGAAAGACAGAGGGAGAGGGAGGAAAAAGGGTGAGGATGAGGTGGGGGGAACGGCCCTGTGCTCTCTGAGATATAAGTCGTCCAAAATAACAAGGTTCATGCACAGGAGGCCCCTTGTGTACATATATATATGCATGGGTGTTTAGGGCAGGCTTTGAAAATAGGTGCAGGAAGAAAGCGGCCAAAGTGGCTGCCTTAGCGCTCCCTTTAGTTGCTTTTGAGGAAAAGAACGGGCGAATTTCGCTGCCAGTGAGTACCGATTCAAAGTTTATTGGGATGAATGAATATGCATGGGGAGGGAAGGAGAATTGGGGGAAGGGGGAAGGAGAGAAGGAGGGACATCTTAAGCAATACTGAAAAGTCCATCCCGTTTTGCAAGAAGAGCCTTCCAACCAACCATCACTTTCTGCCCTTCTCTGCCATGGAGGCCCTGGGCAATGAATTGAGCTAAGCGCCTAGAAGGTGGACATAGACCTCCCCCCAAGTTGGCTCCAAGAAATAGGCCCCTCAAAGTCTATAGGACTGTGTGATAGTGGTGGTGGTGTTGTTTTTAAAAGAAACAAAAATCTGTTGTAAACTTCGTGGTTCTCTGGGTCCTGTAAAGAACATGTTTCTGTTTCCTAAGCAATTGCTTAGGAAACTCATCTGTCCTAGAACAGTTTTTTTTTTCAAAGCAGTTTTCTAGAACAGCTTTTCCTAAGCAGGTTTTTCTTAGGGTTTTTTTTTCTAAGTTTTTTTCTTTGGAGAAACTTTTCTAGGACAAAAGGGTTTGTCTGGGAGAAGTGAGTCCTAGAACATGGGTCCTCCCTAGAAGCCAAGATGATTAAACTGAAGCTGTCCTACTTTGGCCACATCAGGAGAAGGCATGAATCATTGGAAAAGACAATGATGCTAGGGAAGGTAGAGGGCAGGAGAAAGAGAGGAAGAACACATGCGAGATGGATGGACTCTATCTATTAGGGAGGTCTTGCAGGAACTAAGCAGAGCAGTGGAGGACAGGGGGCCTTAGAGAGGCCTCCTCCACAGGAGTGGCCATGAGTCGAAGTGACTGGAGGGCAACTAACAACAGCTGCTGCTGCAAGTGAGTCCCTAGGGCGAAAAACTCTCAGCCGACCCTAAAAACTCCATGATTTGGAGCAATATGGCTCTTAGAGCCAGCCTGATGTAGTGGTTTATAGTGTTGGACTGGGACTCTGGAAGACCAGGGTTCGAATCCTCGCTCAGCCATGAGAACCCAGTGGGTGACCTTGAGTAAGTCACACTCTCTCAGTCTCAGAGGAAGGAAAGAGCAAACCCTCTCCGAACAAATCTTGCCAAGAAAATCCCGTGATAGGGTCGCCTTGGGGTCACCGCCTGCTCTGCTTAGGAGCCTCAAGGAGGAGTCCACAGAGACAGAGTAGTGGGCGACCAATATCTAGAGAAACAGTGCCTCCTCGCCTCTTCTGGTGCTCTCCCCAGGGACCAAACTGTTTCAAAGACCATGAGGCTAGGAGAGTTGTGAAAGTGACAAAAGGGAGAGGATGATTCCTGTTCCCTCCCCCGGTTCTCCTCCTCCAAAAAACTTTGATAGTTGAAACTTTAAGGAGGGTTATAAAACAAGAAAAGAAGTCTGGTGTGAAGGAATGTCAGGAAGGAGGGAGGGAATAGATAGGAGGGAAGGACGGCATTACTAAACCAAAGTGGATTTTAAAGAGACTTAATTCTAAAACATAGGAAGTCAAGGGTCCTGGGAAGGAGTCACCTTTCTTGTGAAAAAAGCTCTGAGAGTTTGCTTTAATATATGTGAAATATATGTATGTATATGTAATACATGTTTGTGTGTGTATATACACACACATAAATATACTGTAGGCCCTGCACATTCTCTGAGGCTAGGGGCACAGGACCCCCATGAAAGTGGAAAAAACGTAAATTAAAAAATACTACTTTTTTTCATCTGAGAGGACATTTTTCTAGGAATCTCTAGGTCCTCCAGGAGAACTCTATGGTCAACATTTGCTAGAATTTAACCACAGAATCATGCTGGAGGACCTACAAATGCCTAGAGAAGTATTTTCTCTAGGTCCTCCAGCACAAATCTATGGTCAGCTTCAACCAGAATCTCTCTGGAGGACCTAGCGATACCCAGAGAGAACATATTAATCAAATCTGCAAATAATCAAATCCACAAAAGTAAAATCCGCAAATATGGAGGACTGACTGTAGTGCTAAATGAGCCTTCAGTTGTGAAGATCAATAGGAGATATTACCTAAATTGGAGTCAATAATATTGGGAAGTAATATGGGGGGCGAGGAGAAAAGAAAAAAACCTTTGTAATTTAAAAGCAGAAGCCAGAAATGTTTGAAGGGTGAGACGAAGCTTTTCCACTCCCATCACATTATTACCAGGATCTGATTTATGAAAATTGCTCCAGGAGGGGCTGGGGTTAGTAGGTTGCTACAACATTTAAGCTTAGCCTAAGAGGGAGATGTCCAGCATCCCTATTTAGGCAAGCAGGGCTTTTGCCAGCATTTGCAGCTGAGGTCAGGATGGAATGCATTATTGCTGGATATATTTTTAAAAAAAACACAATTAACAGCCACAGATCACTTTCACCTAAAGGAAGCACTATGGTTCTCCTAGTCATGGGACAAATTAGCGTGTTTGGACACGAATGTGTCTAAATCATAACTCCCACTCCCCCACAACAAACACGTTATTTAGAGACAAATTCCACTGGAAAGTGGATTTCCACCAGAGGGGATTTGTTGAAGTGGGTTTCTGTTGCTGAGTGCGGATTTGAACTCATGTCTCCCGAAGTCCTAGCCCAACTCTTAAACCAGTAGTATACCACGGTGCCATGCTTCCAGCAGCCCCACTGAAATCAGTGAAGGGAAAGGTCATCATGGTTATTTGTCCCATTGATTCTAGTGGGTCTTTGTTGTTGTTACTGGTCTAACTTGACTTCAATCTGGATGGATCCCAATGCGTTCAAAATTCAAGTTTACAATAGCTTAGTCGAAGTTCTTGAGTCTAAAAACCACCAGGATCTGACTCTCAATGCAGATAAAGTAGGATATGGTCCATACTTACTTATCTGCCAGAAAACATTTTCATATTCCATTTTATTTTATTTTATGAGAAGCTTTCAGGATCATTGCAAAGGCTCAAAAGCCTGGATATTTACCCTAAAAACACCAGATTCCATCTAAGCAGGGTCAGCCCTGGATAGTAACTGGATGGGAGACCACCATCGAATTCCAGGTACTGTAGGCTAAATTTCAGAGGAAGGAACTGACAATGCCACCTCTGAATATTCCCTCGAAAAACCCTATGAAATTTATAGGGTCACCATAAGTCAACAAGTGACTGGAAGGCACATACCCACACACAGTTTTGAAATATCAAATAATGATCATTTTCAAGTAAAAGATCTGGCCAGTCTAAGGAAAAATCAATTCTTATTTCTAAGGAAATGATTCAAGTAAACCATAACTGAAAAGAGAATATTTCAAACAGAGATGAAGTCCAGAAAACCAAATAATAATAATTTTAAAATATTTGTGGAGCATTAATTATAATCTGGAAGTTGTAGGACCCTGGGCAGTGTATCTTCAATTCGTTTCCGGGTAATATTTTGGTAATATTTTTTTCAAAGGGGGTTTGCCTACACCTTCCTCTGAGGCTGTGAGAGTGTGAATTACCAGGGTCACCCAGTGGGTTTCCATAGCAGAGTGAGGATTTGAACCCGGGTCCCCTGGAATCCTAGTCCAACACTCACACCACTACACCACACTGCCTCTCAGTGCTGGTTTACTATGAGCCATGCGTTAATAATACCAATACGTATATAAAAGCTAGTTTAAGCTCAATTTATGTAGATTGCTTGGCCTTGAATTGGATGGAACTTTATTTCAAATAAGGTTGTTTAAAGAGGTCGTTTAGTTAAACTGTATTTTTCCAGCCAACCAATTTAACTGAATGGTACCTGCTTCAGTTCGACAACTCCGGATTAACTGGTCTGTGGAAGGAATTGATTTTGTCTATCCTCCTGCCTCTCCCCACAGAACCCAAACCCCAAGAACGCTCTGTAGTAATTGTCCCAAGATAGACTCCTATCCAAGTTTTCTTATTTATCATTTTTCACACGTGGCTTATAACTGGTATGAACGAAATCTAAAATTAAATTAAAGAGAAAATATAATGAGATCCCCTCCCTTTCATGTGGGTAGCATTCACACAGTCCATGAAATCGAACTGGTTTGAACTTATTTAAAGTAGACAAAGGGCATTTGCAGACTGCCAGAAATAGTGCAAATTGAGTCCACTTTAAGGGTTAGGTTTAGTGCTAGGAAATCATGGGAATTCTTGTTTTTCTGAGACATTGAGCCTTCTCTGTCAGAGAGCTCTGGTGCCACAATAAAATACAGTCCCATGATTCCCATGATACCCTAACCCTAACCCTTAAAGTGGACTCAATTTGCACTATTTCTGGCAGTCTGCAACCCCCCCCCCCGAAGTCACTGCCTTTGCTCTCTGGTGGAGGGAGGGCAAGTCTTAAGACCCTCAGTGAAATAATGACTAATCTTAGTGGGTCTGTTCTCCAAGATTTAGATCTGAGGAAATAGACTCAAGTCTACCAAGGCTCATGCTACCAACCAATTTCTCTCTTAGGTGCTACAAGATCACTTTGCATAAAGATTTAGACCAGTTTGACTCCACCTGACCTTGTTGAAACGCCTACTAGGTACTAAAACGCTTCCCTTCTACTGGAATCTTGCCCATCTTGTTGGGGGCAATTAGCTTAGACATTGTAAACCGCTTAGGGAGTGCTTAAGTGCACTGATAAGCTGTATAGAAATGTACTTGCTATTGCTATTGCCATATGAACCTAAGCAGCTTATAAACTGTAAGCAGCCAAACTACTCTCTGGAGGGCACCTTGCATGGCTCAAAATATATCTTGATTTCCTTCCAAGTGCTTCGACTTGACCTGGGATTTGATTCTGGATATATTTCTCAATCTTTTGTAACATTTGGGAAAGTAAAACCTTCTGTAAACATATTTCTCTATCCTAGTCTATTCTGAAATAGGCAACTTGGGCCACAGGTCCTATCAGCCACAGCTACATATCTCAATAGGCAAAGGAAGACGGGAGTGATACCAGGTTGGAAAATTCTACTTTAAAAGTGATGCATACTTGGTGAAGGAGCTCCACTAGAAAACTCTGTGAAAGGTCTTCCTGCTGGTGGTGACATAAAACTTTTAAGCTTAGAGGTGGGGAATGTGCAGTCTTCCAGATGTTGTTAGACCATAACTCCCTTCAATCCTAATCATCTGAATCAACGGTGAGGGAAGATGGGGTTTGTAGTCCAGGAACATCATGTTCCCAATCCCTGTTTTAAGAGCATGTGTGAGCCTGTTTTAATTGCAGACTAGAGTGGGTGGATGTTGGCTATAGCTGGGTAATATGGGGTGGTGGTACCAGTTCATTGCCCTGGGCTCATGGGACAGAATGCTCCTCCACAACCTCTATCCAAAATAAAGTTCCCACATATATACATCTTAATGTCTACACTAGAACCATTCTCCTTGGCATCTGGCTTTGTTTTGTGTATGTGTGGGGAACTGAATGTATAGGTAGATGCCTTTTGCAGGGGGAGCCCAATCTGGAGTCTGAAATGGCACAGCCCAGAAGTAACTTTGCCACCTGAGGAATAAATATGTAGGCACCAGGTAGTCGGGCCAAGTGCTTTAGAATGGAAAACCAGTATGATCCCTTAGGTGTCCTGCATTTGAACCTCTTACGCATTTGCACCAGATGGGCAGGAGGTCTTCTGCTCTTATACAATGCTTTTCACATCAGACACATCAGAATACTTTCATTTTGTTGTTGTTGTTAACTGCCCTCGATTCGATCTATGGATGAGACATCTCCAAGACCCTCTGTCCTCCACTGCTCTGCTTAATTCCTGCAACCCCTTAATACCCGTGGCCTCCTTAATAGAAAAGCCTTAATCTGGCATGTGGCTTTTCATTTAGGGTTGGCGAAAGATGTTTTGGCCAAAGAGCCAGCATGGTGTTGTGATTTGAGTTTAGGACTAGGAGACTGGGAAACCAGGGTTCGAATCCCGGCTCATCCATGTAAGCCCACTGGGTGTCCTTGGGCAAGTCACACTCTCTCAGCCTCAGGGGACGGCAATGGCAATCATCCTCTGAAGAAACATGCCAAGAAAACCCCAAGGATAGGGCCCCCTTGGGGTCACCATGTCGGAAATGACTTGAAGGCACACAACAACAACAATAGAAGACATTTTGCTGTAGCCTCACGCCTAGTTAAGGTGCATTGTTTTCAAAAACAGCCAAATTAGTTTGGAAACAGAAAATCCAACAAATGTATCTTCCCCTCCCTGGCAATGAAGGCACGATAAAATGAATAGTTAGCTTGTCCTTGCCTGGCAGACACTTTCTCCTAATGTGGGCTCTGGATAATTCCCAGTCAACTATAAGGAAAGGCACTTGGTACATGTTCAGAAACACAGAAGGTTTTAATTTTCCTGGTATAAGTTCCGAGAATCTGGCCGGATGGCTTCTGTTTCAAAGGAAACCTTCCAAGGGCCAGGAATGCTTTGAGAACCCAGAGCAGCTGCTATCTGCTTCCCTGAGGAAGACAATATAAAGCTGGTTTTCATCTCTCTTTTTAAAATAAAATTAAAGCGTGCTTTCTCTATTGTGGGCTACAGCTAACGAGCACCCATTTATTAAGTTGTCACTAAAAATAATACCACGGGGATCAATAACTGAGATTTTCTCACAGGTGCCAACCTAATGTGATGCTTAGAGCCTCTCTTTTGCACCAGGGAGACCCAGGTTCAAATCCCCCCTCACTCATAAGTCTTTCTGCCTATCCTTGGATGAGTCCCTGCTTTTAAGCCAACCCACCTCTCAGGGTTGTTGTGACAATAAAAAAGAGGGCAGGAGAGGCAACTAATGCCCTCTGCCTTGATGATATCAAGGTAGCAGCAGGTAAGAAATGTTGTATAGGAAAAAGAGATCAAGTTCAAAACTTTTCTTTGACCCGCCGGGCAGAAACGAACCCGAAGACTTTCTCCCTGCCTTGGTACCAAGCCCTGCACTGTGACCAAAAGGCCAGCGCTATTTACCGGCTTCTTTCCCAAAATCACGAAGGCATAAGAAGCTCGTTCAGCTCCTCTGCATGAACCCACACAATTCAAGATCAAGGCAGCCCCGGTGGAAATTGCCAGGAAGGTTTAATGCCCCGAAACCACACAAGAAGGAAATAAGGCAAATGAACTGTGGAAGAGGAGGAGGAGGAGGAGATGATGCAGGGAGCTCTCAGGTGAAAAATTGGAGCTTTGAAAAATGGTCCCGTTCAAACCGGAGCAGCCCCGCGACGAGCCAGGGACCAAGGAGGCACTCCACTTTCACTCCGCTTCCTTGCAAAAGGAGTGCGAAGATTTTCAAACCCTCTGAATATTCTTAACAGGTTGGACAACTGATACCCTTCCAGGGGTTGCTGGACTCCTAAACTCCCACCATCCTCAGCCAGCATGTGTGAATACCCAATGATGAATGGATAATGGGAGCTGCAATCCCACAACGCGACCCATGCCTGCTGGAGACCTAGCTGTAACAACACGTCCCTTGAGTATAAGGCCAAGAAAGCCATGAAGGGAGGAGGGCTTTGTTTTTGGCCAACAGGCCCCATCATCCTGAACAACGTGGAAGGCGGGGTCAAAGGTCAGAGATGGTGGGCGTTGTAGTTCAAAACAAAGTACTCTACTATGATGGATTAAAAAAAATCCGCTAGAAAAGAAGCCCAAATTGTTTCCAAAGGTGTTGCTTGCTGGAACTCAGGTCCAGCAAGCACTTGGACTGGTGATCTCTCTGCCTTCCCAAAAGGCTCCACTACAGAGAATAGGGATAGAAGCAAGGACCCATTGAGTCTCTCTTGGTTTTTCTGTCCCTTAGAGTTTTTGTAGCCTTCCCCCAAGGCTGAGCCCTTCAAATGTCTTCGGACTATAAATCCCATCAGCCCCACCATAGCCATGCCATGTTGGCTGGTAATGGTAGGAGTCGTGGCCCATCAGTCTCACAGGACACTGGGGGGGGGGGGTGCAGTGTTTTGCTTTCTATTGGATTGAGGCAGCTTCCCTAGCTCCCTCCCCATTCTTCTTTAGACTATCCACTCCAATCTAACCTAAACCTGGGTAGCATCTGCACTGCAGAATTAATGCTGTTTGGAACTGTTATGGGATCTATAGTATTGTGAGATATTTAGCCTTCTCTCTCTCAATTTGTTGGTGCCTCAACACACTATGAACCCAGGATTCCATACAATGGAGCCATGGCAATTAAAGCGATGGTCAAACTGAATTAATTCTGCAGTGTGGAAGCAGCCCTGGAGATGGGCACATTCACAGAATAGTTTAAAAAAACCTCAGGGTTGTTCACAAGCCATGGGGTGCATCCCCACTGCAAAAATAATCCAGTTTGACACCACTTTAACCGCCATGGCTCAGTGCTATGGAATTTTGGGGATTGTAATGTACTACCGTCCCCAGAATTCCATAGCACTGAGCCACGGCAGTTAAAGTGGAATCAAACAGGATTATTCCTGAAGTGCGGATGCAGCCTGCGAATCTAGTTCTTTGAATGCATCCTCATTTTTTGGAATATATAATTTCTCGTACCCCACACTCCATTATACTTTTTGGGGGAGGCTTTTGTCCCAAGACCTCCATTCCTTGGGGAAAAGCTGTAGTGAGATCGGAGGGGC